AAAGAAAAGAAAAGAAAATACAGCTCTGGTAGAGCTGAAAGTGTCAGACTGCCCACCATGTGCCAGGCACCACGCCACACACACTGCACGCATGAACACTGACTCTCCTCATGATAACCTGGTGAGGTCAGTCAGCACCACCACCCACTTTACAGATGAGGGAATTCAAGTTCAGAGACATGCAGTGGCTGTTCACTGCAGTCGCTAAGTAGCAGAGCAGGACTGTAAACTCAGATCTGGCTTCTAACCTAACGCAGTGCAGGAGAAATGGCAGGCCTGTGCAGGAACACAGAGGCCAAGGGGTCTGGCTCTCATCCCCATCTCAGAAAGGCCCCTATTCGACCACATTTCTGTAAGACGCATTTTCCAGATGGGCCATGAACTCTCACAACGGGAGCATTCACTGGGAGCTACTTGCTCAGAGGATGAGCAGTGCAGGCGGAGGCCGTGTCAGACCTTACCCGTCAGCTTTCAGAGAGCGAGGCCGGTTTCATCTGAGAGAGAAACAGGATGGCACTATGAGCAACAGCGAAGGCGGCCAAGCAGCTGCCCTGCTGCTTCTCCCGGGGCCCTGGCCGCTCCAGCAGTCTGCCTGGCTGAGGACCGGCCGGCTGGCACCGGCCACATACCTCACTGACCACATCTGAGGGGCTCTTGGGGCCACTGGCAAGGGCACCAGTCAACTGGGTCACTTATTTCAGTAAAGCAAACAGAAGCTGCCTTTTTCACTCTGTTTTAAATGTCAGCACTCTAGTTCGAAGGGTGGAAGGGGCAGGAAGAAACCGATGTTCTAGAAAGGCAGCAGCCTCAGGACTGACCCTCACTCCTGATGAATTCTTCTTATTAAATTCTCCTCTTTGTTGTGTTTTCCACGGCTCCCAAATGGCCAGACACGCACACACACACTGCTGTTGACACTGCATTTCTTCTCTTTTTGACACTGCATTTCTGAAGAGCACCTCCCCACCAGTTTACAGATTATAAACCGTTCAGTTAAGATCAAACAGTCAGGGATGGAGAGCTGCTTTGCCAAAAGATGACTCACTGAACTGTATCAAAACACTGCACAAAATTAGAGTTCCAAACTTGATTAACTTCATCTGAACCTTTTAATTAACTCAGGCTGCTGAAGTCCAGGCGGATGACATCCACTGCTGGAGACGACGGGCTGGTGTCTCTGCTTAAGTTCAGGACTTGCCCAAGTAATGGAAAAGGCAAACTTTGAAAGTGAGAGAACAAGCAGTTTTTCATGTATTCAAAAGAAAAACTGTGTATGTGAATATACTATCTCAAAAACACTTAACACACATTTAAATTTAATCTAAATAAAGAATATCAAATGAATGCTACAAAGGATTTTGGATAGCAATTTTTTCAACACTAGGGATTGAACCCAGGGCCTCCTCACACATGCTAGGCAAGAACTCTACTACTGAGCTGTTTGTTTGTTTGTTTGTTTCCGGTACTGGGAATCGAACTCACGACCTCGCGCTTGCCAGGCAGGTGCTGTGCCGCTGAGCTAAATCCCCAGCTCATCTACTACTGAGCTATTAAACTACCCTCCCTCTTCCTTCTTTTTTTGGTACCGGGAATCAAACTCATGACTTCGTCCTTGCCAGGCAGGCGCTGTGTTGCTGAGCTATATCCCCATTCTGCCTTTCTTTGTTGCTCATTTTGAAAACAAGTTCATGCAAAGTCACTCAGTTGCCCAGGCTGGACTTAAATGTGCAATCCTCCTGCCTCAGTCTCCCAGAGTATTGGGATTAGAGCCATGGACTACTGTGCCCAGCTGGGGAGAAATTTTATTAATCACTGTTTCGTTTTATAAATTTACTACATTCAAATATTGTGCTGGTTGTAGACAATAATATGTAAAATGATAACCATTGATAATTTCCTACCATTTTGTCTGTAATTTGCTAAGTCCCCCCTATTATTATGTTATCCTTCTTTTATTCTTTAAAATAAAAAAAAAAAATTAAAAAAAAAAAAAAACCAAAAACAAATATTGTGCTGGGCGAGGTGGCGCACGCCTGTAATCCCAGCACTCAGGAGGCTGAGGCAGGAGGATCGTTGTGAGTTTGAAGCCAGCCTGGGCTGCATAGCAAGACCCTGTCTCACA